ACAAGGGACTTGGCAGTCTTCCAGCAACCACAAAAGCACACAGAGAATAATTTATGAGGTCACCAAAAGCCAGAAATGTTTAGTAGCCTCTTTTCAACTTCCTCATACTGTATTTTCATACTTATTGGATAATACCAACAAAAAAGCCTGTCCTTTTTCCTAAGCCTCAGCAACTAAAAAACACTCCGAAACAGAGACATAGTACATATTTTGCTGTAAATGATACAGAAAAGGTGAGTTCCAGCCAGCCTGGGGTATAGGTGTGTGCATGAACATGTGTGTGTCTAAGGGTGAGACCGCAGCAGGGCTGCCTACTTGGGGGCCAGGGGAGTCCCAGGCAGCGGGCTCTGTGTGTGTGTGTGTGTGTGCGTGCGCGCGTGTGTGCATCTCTTTGCAGGACAGCGGGCAGTCTGCACCAGCAACTGCAGTGGAGCTGCAGCCTCAGGGCCTCGTATGTCCAGATGCCAGCACCTGGTGAGACCGGGATCCAGGGGCGAGCTACTGTGCACACTGCCCGTCTATGCCCCATTGCTGGAGGGATACATACTGTACATATCCATACACTGTACATACATTCCCACTAGTAGACCTCCATCCTGCTCAGCCAGAAAGTGGAGCAGGATGGGGCCTCTGGCGGTGTTCTGTGTTCTTGTGAGTGCTCTGTGTGTTTGTGTTATATACATAAAAGCACAGGTATGTGGTGTATACGTATGCTTCACGTGCATGTACTGACTGGGAAGACAGGCACAGTCTTCCCACTTATTGGACCTGGGGTCACAAAGCTGTGGCAGCTTGCCTGTCTTGGGCTGCAGAATCCAGCCCAAGTCCTGTAAAAAAATCCACCAACAGTAAGTTTTTACCTGAGAACAATCAGCCTTGGCTATTTCCGTGGTAGTCTGGAGTACATCACGAAGACTGTCTCCATTTTCTTGGATCAGTAGATAAGCCAGCAGAAGAAAAACATGGGCAGGGACTTGAGTTGTAACAGGCAGCAATGACTTCACTGCAGATAACCAGTTAGTAACTGCAGACTTCTCTTTCATGAGCTCTATGATCTTCCAGGTTGTATACAATGAGCTGTAAGAGCTGGTTATGGGGAAAAGGAGTTTGCAGGACACCTGAGAGTAAGTGAAACAAACAAAATTCTCAATCAAACAAATAAGGTACCACAAAAGAACAGAGAAAAAAACCCATAACTAATCCAGTTCTGTGATCCAAACCAATTTTTTGGGGGGTCCCAATACAATATATCTAAAGAACAAATTGCAATACATTTCTTTACAATCCTTTATATGAATTCTTGCACTAAGGATGTTTGAATGGGTTGCTGATTCCCTATTCAGGAGTTCCCCCTTTATTTGGCATCCATCACTCCTGTTCATGCTGGTGCTACTTCCTCACTAAAATGGACACAATAAAACTGGAGTACATTAAAAGCTTCTGTTCCTTACAATGACAGGTGCATCACAAAAGTGTAAGTATCATCTACATTATTTTAAGGAAATTCTCTTAACTTTTGATAAGTACTTAATAAAACACCACAGTTTTACATTAATCCAACTTTACATTTTTTTGTTTAACTCTGTCACTTCTCAGAACAAAATGTTCTATACATGCAGTCATGGAATATACCATTTAGAAGCAGGAAAGTAGTAAAATACAAATGAGGAATCCTCCTAACTCAGATTTTTATATATGTAAAAGTATATATAATTTAAAGTTCCTGCAACCTAATGTGGAAGTTCAAAGTTTTTCATTAAAACAAAAAAGCTTGCTCCAAGACAAACCATCTCTTTCCTACTAATTCTTTGTTTCTCAGAAAATGCTGTGTTTTCAGAAATGTCTTTCCATTACCAAGACAGTAGTTGGCAGGCAGTAATTACATGAAGTTCATTTATATAAAAATCAGGTCAAGAAATTATTTGAAAAGAGGTCTCCAAATGAACATTAAAAATGGAATTCAGACTCCAACAGGGCAGTGCCCACTCACCTTTAAATTACCAATGAAAAAAGAGATTGAGTTGCAAAAGCTGTTCTCCATAAAACTGCAGAATTTCATTTTAATATCACTGTTCAATGCAATGTAAATTTATTTTGGCTAATGGAAGGTAGAATGCCCCTTTACTTTAGACTACCTTTTTAAAATAACATTAAAATTAGCTTATTCCGTTACTTATGCATTACAATTACTGTATGTGAAAAATTCAACAATCTATAATGCCATCTCTCTGGTTGGCAAGATCACTTGCAGCCAAAAATCTCTTCTGGATACAGTTGTGAAACTGCCATTTATTGATAAAGGTATTTAAACTTTATCCAAGGACATACAGTGGGCTAAGACAACCTTCAGGATCTGTAAGTTGTACTGTTTAGTTGCCTGACACTACAAGATTGTAGGACTTGAAATCAAGGTCAGATTATTACAGGTGGGGTTTTTTTTGTTGGTTGGTTGGTTTTTTTAAATGCCTGGAAAAAACTGCTAAAATTGGTAAAGCCTGAAATAATATATTGATATTTCCCATTCCACATTACTTCCCCAAATGTTTTGCTAAATTTTACTCACTCCCTTCTCCCTTTATTTCAGCTGCATGAAAACAAGCTATCAGCATATTTTTACTTTAATGCTGCACCCCATTCAAGCAGGTTAGGTTTCAGTCTGCCAACACTGAAAGTTATACATAAAATCCCTCAATGGCAAAGTAGAAGTACAGGTTAGCCACGTCCTAACATTTTTCAAAATCTTGGGACTACAAGTAGAACAATTCCCCACTACCATCACTGCCAAAAAAAAAAAGGCATTGAAGAAAATACAGCTTTTGGGTGTGGTTAAGAGCAAATAAGAAGCATATTGGCTGTGGAAAGGCAGCCACATACCCATTGGGGACGATAAGAACCTTGCTAGGGCATGCAGAGATGCAGACAGGAAGGTTAAGACTCCACTAGAACTGAAATTGGCCAGAGACAACAAGAAAGAACGGGTTCTTCAGACACATGAGCAGTAAGCAGGAGCACAGGGAAGATGTAGGCCCATTACTAAACAGGGCAGGGAAACAAGTTATTAATAATGCTGAGAAGGCAGGGACTCTCAATACCTCCTTTCCTCCATCTTTACCAGTGTAGCCGGACCCCCGCTCACAGGATCAAGCAGCTACAACAATGTGCGTGTCAACCCACCACTAGTGGCCTTCTGCAAGGGCTCAGCCCACATAAATCGATGGATGGGCCTGGAAGGAATCCGCCCCAGAGTGTTAAGGGAAGTGGCTGATATTGTTGCAAGGCCACTGTCTATTATCTTTGAAAAGCTGTGGCAACCAGGGGGCATCCCTGATGACTGGAGAGGGTGAATGTCATACCCATCTACAAGAATGGCCCAAAAGAGGACCCAAGAAACTACAGGCCCATTAGCCTTACTTCAGTCCCTGGGAAAGTGGTGGAACGAGTCCTCCTAGAAACTATTACAAACCAAATGAAGCCGTTGATTGGGAAAATGCAGCACAGATTTACCAAAGGCAAATCATGCCAGGCTAACCTGATCATCTTCTAAAACAAACTATCTTCTTGTCGACATAAAGACAGCAGTGGATGTTGTTTAGCAGGACTTCAGCAAAGCATTTGACACTGTTTCCCATAGCCTTCTCCTGGACAAAGTGTCAAGATACAGACTGGATGGATGGTCTGCGAGATGAGTATGGAATCTTCTCACACGCTGCACTCAGAGGGTGGTGATTGATGGTTTTTACTCAGGCTGGCAGCCTGTCACTGATCCCAGGGATCAACACTGGGCCCCACACTATTCAACATCTATCATAAATGATCTGGATGATGGGACTGAAAGCACCCTCACCAAGTTTGCTGATGAAACAAGCTGGGTGGTGAGGTGGACACGTCAGGAAGGAAAGCCATCTTTCAGAGAGACCCACACAAGCTGAAGAGTGGCCTAGCAAGAACTGTATGAAGTTCAACAGCGACAAATGCAAAGTGCTGCATCTGGGATGACACAGCTGAACAGCCCAGCACAGGCTAGAATCTGTGTGGCTGGGGAGCAGCCTTGCTGAGAGGGACCTGGGGATCCCGGTGGACAACAAGCTGAACATGAGTCAGCAGAGCACTGCTGCAGCAACCAAGGCAAATTGGATCCTGAGCTGCATCCTCAGGGGCGTCACTAGCAGAGATAGACACGTGGTCATCCCACTCTACTCAGCACTTGTCAGGCTGCACCTGGAGTACTGGGTCCAGTTCCAGTCCCCACAATTCAAAAATAAGATGCCAACAGACTGCAGAGGGTCCGAAGGCCATGAAGGTAATCAAAGGGCTGGACAATCTGCCCTAGAAGTTAGGTCTTTTCACCCTGGAGAAGAGAAGGCTGAACGGGGATGTCACCACAGTTTTCCAGTATTTGAAGGGCAGCTAAGAGGATAGAAGCTCTCTCTTCACAAGGGGCTACATGGAGAGGACAAGGGACAATAGGTACAAGTTGCACTGGGAGAGTTTTCATCTTGATAGAAGAAAAATTTTTTTACAGTGAAAACAATCGAATCATTCACTGGAACAACCTCTCCAAGGACGTGGTGGAGTCCCCATCACTGGAGGTTTTCAAGATGCAACAGGACAGGGTCCTAGATAATCTCATCTAGGCTCCCCTTCCCACGAAAGGCTGGAGCAGATGATCTTTTGAGGTCTCTTCCAACCTGGGCTGTTCTGCGATTCTATGAAACTGTACCATAACTTGCTTTCCTTTTCTGACCTCTTTTCTTGCCCACTTCCAGTGTGAGGAAAGTCTAAGTAAGGGGAATTCATTAAAAATTGTATTCTCTTAGCACTGATCTGATCCTACAATGGACTGAACCCATGGGAACATTAAATAGAAATTCTGCAATTTTTCATCTTTCAGTTGAGAACCAAAGGTTATTGACATACTTTTTACAAACAGTAATCAGGCAAAATGAGTGTCCATCTCCCCATTCTCATTGGTAAACACATTATTACCAAAGATCTACCATGCTACTTGCTATGAACTCCACAAGGATGTCTATCAGTGAGACAGAAGTGAAGAGACTGTTAGAGAATTCCCAGCAAAAAGAAGTGTCTTTTTCAGTTTAACATAGGTAACATAAAAGGTTAAAGTTATGACAAATTATTTAAGCCTTTAACAGAAAAGCCTTCACATGCTTTTGGAAGCAAGGAGAATACCAGAATTAGTACAACAAAGTTCTGTTACAGGAAGCCAGTCTTACACAATGTACTGTAATCTGTGTCCTACAGTAACCCAGTAGTCTTGTAAGACATTAAACTACCTTCTAAAACACCACAGAAAAAACAGACGGGCCAGTGACATAGAGCATAGAGGACTGAAGTACTTGGAACACCTCTCAATGAAACAAACCTCCGGTGAAATCTGTACTGGCTGCCACATAGAAAGCCCCATTAACAGGAAGTGAACAGCCTTCTGTACCTAAAGCCATCCCACAGACTATTCTTTCAGAGCAGAATAAGGAGTGTAGGCTTCAGTGAACATTTATCTTTCATTAGGAGTACAAATGGGCTTGTCTTTTCAGATTTGTGGAAATGGAAGATGAAGTTGGAGAGGGATTCCAGGACAAGGAGACGTGGCAGAACTCAGAATTGGCATCTTTTTCTGTCTCCAACTTGTCACATCACCACCCTCCCCACACCACATAACAGGGGTGTAAAGCAGAAAGGGAGCTTAGCTTCCACAATGCTAAACACATCTTGATCAAAGAGACTTGCTGTCACCTGTTCTCAGAACAGATGGGACAAATGGGTGGGGCAGCTAAGTGGACATAAGTAAATAAATAAAACCAAAAAAACAACAGCACAGATAAAAAGATCCAGGATAATGAGCTGAAATTTGGCAAGTGACACATGTGCTCCGTAACTCTCTTCAGCCAAAGGAGAAAGAATGGTAGCTAACAGTCACATACAATGGCAATGAAAAGGATATAAATGAGTAGAATAAGCAAGTCTGAAAGAGACAAAGTAAGTATACATACTCTTGTTTTCTACCAAGTCCTGTTACTTGATTAATAATGCAGGTGAATTCTTTAATCTAGACAGTCTCTAAAAGTAAAGAAATCCCATCTCCTAAGTAAAACAATATCTACCATACAAACATACTTCTACTTCACCAGTAGTCTAGTTTTATGGACTATAAATATTTTTGAGTGTTTCCATACAACGTATTACATAAAGAAGCTCATACATGTAGAGTCTTTCCCAAGCAGCTAGGCATAATGCAGCAAAATTGTTAAATGCATCCCCTACCAGCCACAAAGGAAGGAAAAAACCCTATAACTTTACCAATTCCTTTTTATTCATCACGCCTTCCTCCTGTAATATTCCCAAAAGATTTACAGCCAGCTGCTGCCTGGTAGTTCCAGAATCATCCTCTGATAGGCAGTCCCCAACTGTTGCAGAAGATAAGATCTGTAGCACAGGCATCACCAAAGTAAGGGCTGTGGTTGACGTGTTCTGGGTTTCTGAACAGGAAAGGAGCTTGTAGGCTATTGAAGACAAGGTGAGAAAAAACAAAGATCACGTAGGGAAAAGAGAACTAACATATTTTGTACTTTCAGGCATGACACAAACATTTCTAGAGAACACTCTGGTCAAGCAAAGTAACAGTCCCCAGAATTACAGTATGTGCATACTAAAGTGCAAAATACTTTTTGACAAAATTCCAATTCTATTTAGAGACCCATACATTTCTGTTGTTTATAGCAAAGCACCTGATGGCAGCAAGTAATACAATAATGGAACGTAGCACAGTCCTTTGCTTTTACTGGAATAACTCCACTAATCAAAACTGTTAAGTCAAAAGCTTAGCATTAGCAGCCAAACATTGCCATGACTCTCTTAAGATCTGTCAAAAGAAACCATTCAGGATGCATGAATCTCAGCTCAGAATATCCTGTTGTTGACTCAAAAATGAAACAGATAAGCTCCAAGATAGCAGGGAGCTTAGAATACAGTAACATCCATGGAAAAAGTCAGTGTAGCAGGAAAATGATCTTTATTGCCATTAGATCAAATGTTACTTTTTTAATTCAGGAAAAATCCTGCTCATAAAAAAAAAATTCAGCACCCAATCCAACTTCAGGGGAACACAATGTTTGTTTTCATAAACATGAAGAAACAAAGACACAGTCTTTGGAGTGTGGATTCCTCTTCCACAAGAAGAGCTTTACCTAGACTCAAGACAGACTTTTGCTGACTTTCTGGTGTTTGCAGCAATAGAAGTGCCAGCCCAATTATACACTGTTCCACTGGAAATACCTATAAGGAAAAAAGAAAGAGGTTCAAGTCTTTGTTTTTCAGTGGCATTAAACAGTACAAATGGGCAACAACCAATACTCTGTAAGGAGTTTCTTCATGAATCATAGTGAGTGCACACACAGCGATACAGCATGTGCAGTGAAGAACGTGAATAGTGTAAAAATAGTATTTTAACTGAATAACTACAACATTTTAATTTGTTGCTTTGTTCAAACCATTTTAGCTCAGTTTAAACCAACTCCCATACTAAAACGTTAACTGATATATACAGAACCAGTTAAGTTTTTGCCTTCTGAAGGTCTTCACCCAAGAAAAAGATCAGAAGCTTTTGAAACAACATGGTCACTTGCAGATGAATGCCATGTATCAATGTCTCTAAATACTGTCTTAAACATGACATCCTTTAAATTTAATACAACTTTTTTTTTTCCCCTATGAACTCTTACCTCTTTTAAGAGCTCAAAGTTGTCCTCTATTAAGGAGATCAAAGATGAGCATTCTCCTGTTACATTTAAACACACTTCACAGAAGCATAACAGTTGCAGACATAACTGGGATAACTGAACTTTCCAAAACACAGGATAGCGCAGTAGGCTGAGGAATAGCTCTTGCAAAAAAACCAAGGCTTCTGTAACTTGCAGTAAGTCTTTAAGCTGTAGAAAGGTAGTTGAAAAACAAAACAAAACCAAAACACGTTCTGGTTTAGTTCCTCTTCCCTATCTATGCAGAATTCACCAAATTTAGAATTAGTTCTATTAGCAAATATTACTAAGACTTTGAAGAAACACATTTATAAACCAAACCCAGGAATCCCTTATCCAACTTCCCTGAAAAAACAATAGATAAAGTGGTATTTAATGTTTTGAAGTAAAATTAGAAACATAGGAAAGAATAAAAGACTTCTTGGTAGCTGTCGTGGTTTAGCCCCAGCCA